GGTCTGAGGGACAGTGAACTGGCCCCCTGTTTTAAAAGTTTGAGGACCCCTGATTTAAACCAATATTGTCTAGTCTTTATTCTGTTAGCTACCATTACTAAGTGGCAGGCCTTCTAAGAATTGATATGGAGATTAATGTTTGATTTGTATTCTGAGATATGAGAAATATAACCCAGAGTAAAATGCTCATGTGTATCTATTTGTTCTGAAAATTCTGCATATGAGTAAATATGGTTTGTTTCCTTTTGTGTGTGTGTGTGTGTGTGTGTGTGTGTGTGTGTGTGTGTGTGTGTGTGTGTGTGTAAACTCGTGATCAACATCAATTCATGTTTTAAATATCCCATTTCTGTACAGTTTCAGATTTGGTGCTCTAGGAAGTCTCTGGTCATGATTTCCACATATTTGCTTACTGTGACGTGGCAAATCTATTTTAACATGTATATGCTTGTTACTACAATGAATCTGTTAGGACATATATCTGAACAGTCTCCATTTAAGAACACAAAACAAAACACATTGATTTCTAAGAAAGTGTAATTGTGTCTGCGTACTTATGTGTGTGTTTCAGGGAGATGGGTTTTTTTTTTTTTTTTTTTGAGTTAAGAGTCTCTGTTGCTCAGGCTGGAGTGTAGTGGCACGCTCATGGCACCACAGCCTTGACCTGCTGGGCTCCAGCGATCCTTCCGCCTCAACCTTCCAAGTAGCTGGAACTATAGGCATGTGCCACCATGTTCAGCTGATTTTCTAAGATTTATTGTAGAGACGAGGTCTCCCTATGTTGCTCAGGCTGGTCTCTAATCCCTGAGCTCAGGTAATCCTCTCACCTCTGCCTCCCAAAGTACTGGTATGGTAGGCATGAGCCACCACTCCTGGCTTCAGGGAGATATTTTCAGTTATTAATTGCAATAGAAACTCATGGGTTTAAGTATGCACATGTAAGATGCTAGGACTACTAGGACATACTTATTCGAAGTCTTTGCTTTTGCAACTTTGTGCCTGATTAGTCAAGTGTCTAATGATATTTGAAATCTATTGGTTCGAACCAGCTGTAAATATACTATTGTTAGTTGCTATTTAATTTTAGGGAATGGTTTTTTACAGTATTTAAAAGTACTCAATTTTATACTTTTGTCCTCAAGATAAAAATTGAGTACTTTCTGTACAATTCTTTACTCAAGTACAAAGGATTTTGTGTACTCAGCAAGGAATCGTCTTAGGCTGTCTACAAAATGGAGTCCTCATAGGTTGGCCTTGGAGCCTTTAAATCCTATTGTTGACTAATGCTGCTCTTGGGTGCAGACAAGCATCGAGCCTTGCAGGCAGCTGAGCGCTTACAAGCCAAGCTTCGAGAACGTGGGGACGCAGCGAACGAAGACAAGCTGAGCCTCCTGAAGTCAGTCCTGCAGAGCCCTCTCTTCAGTCAGATCCTGAACCTTCAGACTTCTGTGCAGCAGCTGAAAGACCAGGTAGGATGTCACTCACTCAAGCAGGCGTTCGCGGCGTGGCATAGATCTTGTGAAAGGCTGGCGTTTTTTCTGAAAGGCTGATTTTTCTATGTGTTAATGAATAGCTAATGAAGTCATTTAAACCTCCAAATGAGACATTCAGATTCACGGTGGCTTTTTTCCCTCTAGTTATTTTTGTAATGGTTGTTGCTGTATATTGTAGATGATATGACATTGTGTTGAAAGCTGTGTGGATGCCGGAGAATGAGTTCCTACAGGAGAAGGGGGTGATAAAAATATGTTTTGTGTGGATGGCTGTAGACTTGGTTTCCATCATCACCGAGGCTCATCGTTCATGTGGTCTACTCATTCAGATGCAGACATTCCGCACACTCACAAGATTTCAGATAAGCCTGGATTTGCATGTATAATCATGTGTATGAGGAAGGGAAATCACCTCTATTTTGACAGTAAAAGGAATAATTACATTGTCATCAGTTAGAGGAATTGCAATTCACACTTCTTACAAGAGTGTAAGTAGCAATTGCTTCTGTGACAGCGTCAGATGGTGATAAACATTAGAACTTCTAAATGTAACAGTGTTTTTTCCCTGTAAAAATTATGAGCATTAAAGAGCCCAAGCATTTATATTAAGATTGAAACATATCACAATGACAGAATGAAAGCTGAAGTCAGATGTTCTTTGAACTCACTTAATTTGATCGCCATTTCTCAGGTTAGAAAACATTTTAAAAATGGTTGTTATCCTCACGAGTTTTGAAGCCCTTCTAATTGTGCCTTTAATCCAAGTTAGTTTTCATTCTGATGTTTATAGCATTAAATGAATGATTATAGATGACCTTCTAGCAAATATTCTGCCTTATATGGTTAAAAATAAAACTTGAAGGCTAGTTTCATAATTCAAAGAACAGCTCTAATTAAAAGACCCCAAAAGTGTGCCTACTGTAAAAAACAAATAGTAGTAATAGAGAATGAATTTGTTTAATATTATGTAACTTCTTAATTTAATTATTTTGGAGCGAGAAAGAAGTAAGTCAAGAAGCATCTTCAAAATATATATATATATATTTTATTGTCATAGATTCGGGGTTTACATGTACAGGCTCATTACATGGATATATTGAATAATGGTGAGGTTTGGGCATCTAGTATACCCATCCCTCATCATCCAAATAGTGAACCTTGAACCCAACAGGTAGTTTTTCAAGCCTCAACCCCCTACGTAACCTCCCCCTTTTGCAGTCCCCAGTGTCTGTTATTCCATCTTTATGTTTATGTGTTCCCATTGTTTAACTCCCACTTATAAATGATAACATGCATTATGAGATTTTCTTTTCATCATTTCTCGGCCTTTTGGCTAAGGTCAAGTGTAGATTTTCAGTTTCTGAGTTATTTCACCTAGGATAATGGCCTCTAGCTCCATCCATGTTGCTGCAAAAGACACTATTTCATTCTTTTTATGGCTGTACTCTATGCTGTGTATATGCCATATTTTCTTTATCCAGTGATCTGCTGGTGGACACTTAGGTTGAGTCCATGACTTTGCTATTGTGAATAGTACTGCAATAAACATATGAGTACAGGTGTCTTTTTTAATGTGATGATTTCTTTTCCTTTGAGTAGATACTCAACAGCGGGATTGTTGGGTTGAGTGGTGGTTTGAGTTTTTCCTTCTTTGAAAAAAAGCTCTATACTGCTTTTTTATAGGGATTTTGCTAGTTTGTATTCCTATCAACAGTGTGTAAGTGTTCTGTCTTCTCCATATTGTCACCAACATCTGTTACTTTTTGACTTTTTTAATAATAGTCATTCTGAATGACTATTATTAAAAAATTTAAAAGATAAGATTATTGAAAGATAAGATAATATCTTATTATGGTTTAAATTTGCATTTCTCTGATAATTAGTGATGTTGAGGGTTTTTAAAAAATATGTTTGTTGTCGGCTTATGTTTTTTCTTTTGGGAAATATCTGTTCATTTGCTTTGCCCACTTTTTGATGGGGTTATTTGTTTTTTTCTTGTTGAGTTTATTTGAGTGCCTTGTAGATTCTGGATATTAGTCTTTTGTTGGAGACATGATTTGCAAATATTTTCTTCCATTCTGTAGGCTGTCTTTTTACTTTGTTTATACCAAATTTTAGTTTAATTAATTTCCATTTATATGTTTTTGTTTTTCTTGTATTTGCTTTTGAGATGTTAGTCATAAATTCTCAGCCTAGGCCAATGTCCAGAAGAGTGTTTCCTATATTTTTTTCTAGGAATTTTATAGTTTCAGGTCTTACATTCAAGTATTTAATCCTTCTTGAGTAAATTTTTGTATATGGTGAGAGATAGGGGTGTAGTTTCATTCTTTTGCATATAGCTAGCTAATTTTCTCAACATCATTAATTGAATAAGGTGTTGCTTCCCCATTGTTTATTTTTGACAACTTTTTCCAAGATCAGCTGGTTATTTTTGAGCAGCTTTATTTCTGACTCTCTATTTTATTCCATTGTATGTGTCTATTTTTGTACCAATGCCATACTGTTTTTTTAAAGCCTTGCGGTGTAATAAAACATTTATTGATTTGTTGTTGTTGTTTTTGCCTAGACTTGCTTTGGCTATTTGGGTTCATTTTAAATTCCATATAAATTTAAGGATTGTTTTTGCTAATTCTGCGAAAATGATGTTGGTAACTCGATAGGAATTGCATTGAAAGTGAAAATTGCTTTGGATAGTATGATCATTTTAATTAGGTTGAATCTTCCAGTTCATGAGCATGGGTGTTTTTCCACTTATTTGTGTCATCTTTTATTTCTTTCAGCAGTGTTTTTTAGTTCTTCTTGTAGAGATCTTTCACCTCCTTAGTTAAATGTATTCCTAGATATATTATTTTTGGGTGTTTGACCATTGTAAATGGCATTAAGTTATTGGTTTGATCTCAGCTTGAATGTTATAGAAATGATATTGATTTTTATACATTGATTTTGTGTGATAAAACTTTACTGATGTCATTTATCAAGTCTAGTAGTCTTTTGGAAGAGTCTTTAGGGTTTTTTAGGCGTAAGATCTTGTCATTAGTGAAGGGATACAATTTGACTTGCTTGTTTCCAATTTGGATACCATTTATTTCTTTCTCTTGCCTGATTGCTATGGCTAGGACTTTCAGTACTATGTTGACTAGGAGTGGTGGGAGTGGGTATCCTTGTCTTATTCCAGTTTTAGGGGTAATACTTTCAGCTTTTTTCTCTTCAGTGTGGTGTTGGCTGTGGATTTGTCATGTATGCCTTTTGTTATTTTGAGGTATGTTCCTTTGATACCTAGCTTGTTGAGGGTTTTTTTTTCATGAAAGATGGTGGATTTTGTTGAATGCTTTTTCTGCATCTATTCTAGTATGATCATATGGCTTTCATTTTTCATTCTGTTATATGGTGAATGACATTTACTGATTTGTGTATGTTGAACCATCCTTGCTTCCCTGGAAAAAAAATTCACTTGATCATGATGTATTATCTTTTTGATGTGCTGTTTGATTCATTTTGCTAGTCTTTTGTTGAGGATATTTGCATCTGTGTTCATGAGGGATATTGTCCTATAGTTTTGTTCGTTTTTGTTTTGTCCATCCCTGATTTGAGTATCAGGGTGATACTGGTTTTGTAGAATGAGATAGGGAGGAATCCCTGCACCTCAATTTTTTGAATAGTTTTGGTAAGATTGGTAGCAGCTTTTCTATGTACATCTTGTAAATTTTTTTTTTTTTTTTTGAGTTGGAGTCTCACTCTGTCACCCAGACTGGAGTGCAGTGGCCACTCCCGGCCACTGCAGCCTCAACCTGCTGGGCTCCGGCGATCCTTCTGCCTCAGCCTTCCGAGTAGCCGGAATTACAGGCATGCGCTACCACGCCCGGCCGATTTTTTGATTTATTGTAGAGATGAGGTCTTGCTGCCCAGGCGGGTCTCGAACCCACAGGCTCAGGCAATCCGCTCACCTCAGCCTCCCAAAGGCACAGGATTACAGGCTGAGCCACCGAGCCCAGCTCATCTTGTAAAATTTTTGCATGCTTTTAAACCAGTAGCTATACAAATCTGACCAATGGCTAGCTTACATTTATTATCCTATATGTTTTCAAATGTATGTTATATGAATGACAGATGCAAGTTGCTATCGCCATGTTTTTTACTGTGACTAGAAAATTCGACCCTCTGATTCTCCCCTGCATCATTCTCACATGTTTTAGAAAAGCAAAAGGAATAAATAATTGGAAAGACTGGGTTATTTGCAGTATATTGGAGAACATGATCATATTGTTGCATTAATGACAGATGCTGACATGCCATGATGAATTAAGCCTACAATTTCCCCCCCCCGCAGATCCTTCTCATTACTTCTATTCAATAATGTTTAATTTTTCCAATTTACTTTTTCAGTATTAAGACTGCCCTTAGAAATCAAACTGTTTCCCTTTGGCAAATTAAACACTTGACAGGTGTGTAACTGAGAGGGCAAAAAAGCCATGCCCCGAAGGGATGTGCTATTTAAATATTGTCAAAAATATTAACAGGTCTGAGAGTATAATTGATGCCTCTGTTTAACTCTGCTACATTGTGTATTGTTCTAACCGCCGGTTAAAAGGACGTGTGCTATTAAACCTGAATAATCACTAATAGCTCCAGTTCATTTCCTATTGCATGATTCCTGTTTAAGTAAAGAGGGGGAAAAAAAGAACTGTGACTGTGTGTCAATGATCTGTCAGATGCAAGTTCTCAAGTAGTGTCCTCACTGTCACCTAGTCATCACAGCTAATAACTACAGGGCTTAATGTGTATTCATGACAAAAAATCCAGCTATTGTAGGGGAAATAAACATGTTAGCAGTTTAATAATAGAAACTTGTCAGCCTTGAGGATATTGGATTTGCATTTTTATTCTATGAAGTTTCTCCAGTCCAGTATAGATGGTTGCCACTTTTCTGATTAATTAATTGCCTTGTCTTAAGAATTGACCACTGGCACTAAATTGAT